TCATATACCTGCATATTATAGCAGCACCTAAGGTCAGGCCCTAATACATAAGGGGCTGTACAAAGAGAGAGAACGCCATGGGCCCAAAGCACTTGGACTGATTTCCACAGGAGTTAGGAATCTAATCCCTTTGAGGATCTGGGCCTCAGGCAGGATGCACATAGGGTGCCTATACACGTGCAGCAAGGCTGCTCCTTACAGCGCGTCGGAGCACACTCAAGTCACTGAGTCTGCGGGAACATGGTAATTACCGTGCTCCAGCAGTCTCCAGCATCATGTGTATCAACGTCCCCACGCTGAAAAATGCTGGTGGGGGCACTTTAACTAAAGCTCATCGAACAAGCTTTAGTTAGAGCACCCCTGCTGCCATTTTTCAGTGCAGAGATGCTGATACACATGACATTCCAGGTGTTTTAATTACTCTAATTAAAGTGTCTCCCCATCCCCCACTCCCAGAGCATGTCTCTAAACACCGAAAATGTTTAGGGAAGAAAGCTATATTTTATAGATGGGAAACAGGGAGATTAACTGCCTGGTCCAAGGTCCTACCTAGGAAAGTCTTTGTGGCAGAGACAACACCCAAAACGTCCTACCTCCCAGTCCACTGAGTCTATACGATGAATTTACCTCTTGACACTTCACCTTGCAATCACTGTTATCTGTCCAATCCATTTGGGGTCCTATATTCTGATTAGAAATAGGAAAGCAATCCTCCTTTATTTTTGACCACTACTAATCACTATGAGAAGAACAAAATATGGAGTTAACTCAGAAAAAAAAATATTTTTTCAGGTTCAGAGTCAAGTTAGTTACTGCCAGTCCAAAGTTGAAAAAGGTAAAGCCCAATCAATCTCAAATATTCATGGAAGCATACTGGTTTGGGAACAAGCTTAGGGCATTTTAATCCATGATGAACTACATCTTTGTTCCCTTGGTAGCCAAATGTGAAATGTTCCTGCTTAATATGGTCTCCCACAAGGGAATTCTCTCCTATGGAAAACCAGGGAAATGACCTCTTGACCCAGCTACCTCGTTGCACATCTGTGGGTATTTTAATTTATCTGCCTACTGGCAAAGGAAAGTGGTGATTTCTGCAATCACCAATGTGGGATGCACCACAACACACTGTTTTGGGCAGTTCTGTGGGGTTTAGTTGATGAATAGGCTTTATTTAGGATTGGTCTGTCAAATAAGGAGAACGGGATGTAATTCCTGCAATGGGAGTGCAAAGAAGTTGACTGTGTGCTCAATAGCACACAGATCTCAGCCCTCTGAATGCCCTTTGCACTTAGTTTGAAGGAAAATTGGCTCAGCATCTCTCAGAAAATGCTCTGTCCTTTGCAAGACTAGGCCCTCATTCCTCAAAGCCTTCAAAGTCAAACATCATCCCCAGGCAGGCCTTGCACTGCACAGCATCCATCTCAGACATAACTTCCCTAGCCTCTGATCAAGGGGCTTGTCTTTCTGGTATCCCCTTGGGAGATGATCCCCCCTCCACTGCTGCTCCCCACCATCCTCCGGTTTTACCTGGACTTTCCCCATGGACGTGTGCAGGCCTATTGGTCTGTGGCACAGCTTGCACTGGACACTCAAGGAGTAACAGAGAAGACAGGTTACATCCAGCGTAGCAGGGATCTTGCCAAAAAAATCCAAGGGATAAAGTCACAGACACCACAAAAAATATGTGTACTGATGATTAGGCCTGAGGGTGTTTAACCACATAAAATCCTTACCATATATAAATCAGTATTTCCACTATATACAGAATTTCATTTAGGCTGAAAAAAATAAAACTGGTGTGGGCATGTGCTCAGAGGTAACAGCAAATGTGGGTGGGTGGGTGTATACATAAAACAGATACTTGTGTTTGCAACACAATACTGGCACATGCATAAATGTGCCAGCAGTCTTGCTTCATCACCAGACTGCACTTGAGACCTCATGATGTAAAGTAGGAGCTTCCACAGCTCGATCTAGCAGACTAACTCACAGAAACCGGGGCTGAAACAGATTCATCTCTGCAAACAAAACCTGCAGATGAAAGGATACTACATAACGAGGGGCGAGTCATATAGCTACAGGTATTTTGTCAGCACAGTGGAGTATCCGAGGCCAAGGCCTACAGGTCCAACAATCTCTTAGTGTACTCATATGTATTTCAGTTCAAAAAGATCAAGCACCCATCAACCTGTCATACTCAAATATCCTAAAGATGCCATCACAGCATATTGGTTTCCTGTCATCCAAATCCTCACTCCTAAATTTTCCAGTCTGCAAGAAGAATTTTAGCCACAGTTGGTTTCATTTTAGCTCTACCCCTAATACTTTGGTGTTGTACGATATCCAAATATAACAGCGAACCTTTCCCTGACACACTTCAGTAGACTCCCTTGGGCCTTAACCTGATGTGATAGAGTGAAAAACCAGCCTCTCTGCCTCTACTCTCATCCTGGCAGAGATTAGGAGCTGACCTCAACTGAATGCTTGAGACCTTACACAACCACCCCCACAATATAATAAGGTTTTACAAAGGCACGGCTGGCAGGCATTTGGTGTCGCGCAGCTGGAGAGCACTACTGTAATAAGGGGAGGATTTTAATCAGCCCATCTCAGCTCTCTCAAAGGCAAGATAACCTTCTCTTCCATCAGCACTTGAGATACGAGCGCCGTCCTCAAAAAGACCAGAGTGCAAAGGAGAACAAAGGAAGTCCCACATGGCTCTGAGGCTTTTGAATTCAGGAGTTTTCTCTATCTGGTTTCTCACCACCAGCAGATGAGCAGCCCACGCCATCATAAACTGCTGGAGACAGAGCTGTCTGTCCCAGCCAAAATGCAGTGTGGGAACAAAGGGTTTATACAGACAGGGCAGTGCAAGGGGAATATATGCCAAGAGGTATACGACTTGTCTGCTCGCACGTGACTCCTCTGCTCACCTGCTCAGCAGCTGAGAACCCCTTCTCGGGAAGTCACGCTCGCATACTCCCTTCTTCCATCATGAGTACAAAGCACACCTAGAATTGCAGGGATCTATTTTGTAGCCATTTTGGTCTGGGACCACCCAAAAATGAAGTTTACTTTCCACCTAAAGGGACTTTTACCATCTTTCATTCCCCCTCAGCCTGAGGAAGGGCATGTGTGCCCGAAAGATTGCAAAGAAAGATCATTTTGTTTGCCATTTTCTTCTCATTCTAACAAAAGGTACCACCCTCTGAGCCTAAAATTGCATGCACTTGACACTCTGGCTGTCAAATGTACTAGCTGTTTCCATCAGTCAAGTACCTGTGCTCCTGACACATGCACACACGGTTCCTCTGCTTCTGCTCCCACCAGATGCAGACCTTTGAGGCAGCTGATGATGAACAACCCAAGTGCTCAACACCTCCACAGTTCAAATCAGCAATGCCACCTCCTTGGACCTCCTCCCAGGGAGACCAGCCCTATTCAGCAGAAACACCACCACCACCAGGGTGGGAAAGTATTTTGGGCAGGGGGCCACTTACCAAGTTTTGGCAAGCTGTAGAGGGCCACATTTCCCTCTCCAGTGCAGGGAAGCAGGGGCTGGGGGGGCTTGATGCTGGGTCCTGCTGCCAGCTTCCCCTGGGTCCTACTGCCCCTGGCTCCTGTCATCCTTGACAGGCAGCCAGGAGAAAATAATTACATTTTCTAAATGTTATAGGGGCCCCGTGGGCTGGATAGAATGGCCTAGTGGGCTGGATCTGGCCCCCGGGCCATATTTTGCCCACCTCGAGCTATACCAAAATACCCTTGAGGGGGAACACATTCTCCACTGGCCAGAAGAAAACCCCTCCGCCGCTGACACAGACCCACACTACCTCCACTGGTGAGCACGCTAAACAAACAGCCGGTGGCTCTCAAACTCATCGATGACAAGGAGCATGCTATTTTGCAGCAACCTGCAATGGTGCCTGGCTGCTCTGCAGCTCACAGAGTTGCTGCTCAAAAGTAGCAATAGGGTTTTCAATCAAGAACTTGCAGACTCACCATTTCCCCCCGTCAAAGGGACAAAGGCCCGAAGTGACGCTTCCTGCCACTTGGATCTGTACGGCACAGATCAAGCCCTATGTAAAGGTCACTTATTTCTGTTCCAGCGCAAATGTCTTGAATAGCGGCTGTCTGACCCAAACCACACATTGACACGGGCTGACGTCAGGCTGAGAATCAGTTTAGTGCCTATTGCAGGGCAAACTCTGCTTGCTGGCGAGAACGCTGCAAGTACAGAAATACAGACATGTCTTGTATCCCTCCCACAACTGTGGACTGGCTCAGTACCGATTTTTATCATCAGCAACCTTCCTTTAAAACCTGAGCAATGCATTACTGATTTATCAAATTAACAATGATAACCCCTGCAAGGGGGAACTGGAAGGCTCAATAATCATGAGCTCGCTCTCTCTGCCGGTGCAGGATTCTTCTTCCCTGCAGTACATTCATTCTTTCATTATCCAGTCTCATGTTATATATACCAAGCAGAGGCATTTCCCTGGAGAAAAGGTCATGCAGGCTGTTATTTCTCAATTTCAGGCCCCTTCCTGCCATTCTTTTTAATTTACCCCAATGATGCCCTGCTACTGCCCTTTTTAATAAATTCAGCTTTTCCACTGGTGATCACTGTCTTCAAAAACATTTGTAGTCACTTCATGTCCCCCCAGAGCTGTCCCTCAATCACCTACTTTAAATCTTTCCACACCAGGCAACCCTTTTGTCCCCATCAATCTTTTCTGTTCTTCTCTCCAATTTGTCAGTGTCACTCCGGTAATAAGGTGAACCGATCGTCGCGCAGGTACAGAGAGCGACTATTAAAACCTTCCTCTCCAATATGATGCCTCAGCATGCACAAGCCTTATTTTGCATTAGCCCTTTAGCTACCATTAGGCATAGAAATTCACCTCTACATTTGCAGAATACTAGCATCACCCCTTATTTCTTTTGTCCCTGCTGAGATCCTTTGAATGCATTTTCCCCCAGAGAAAGAAACCTACCTTTTCTCCTTTTTCTCCTCCTCCATATGCTCCTCTGGCCTAGAAATTAGAGGGGAAATGGTCAATTTAATACACTATAGTGTTATTTTTCACCTCTTTCTTCAAGGATCTCAAAGCATATTAGGAACATTAATTAATTTATCTAAAAAAATCAGGGGAAAATTATTATGGTGTGATGAGGCTATCAATGCACACTTGGTCCTTTCCAGGTTGAAGTGCATAAAACAATGACACTGCTTTCAAGAGGGTATAACCCAAGGTATTTGTCCCTATAAGGGGAAAGGTCTATTCCTATAGATTCACTGGGAGGATCTGTGCCGGATTAACAAAAAATATAAGGAGAGAGAAATAACCCCCCACTTCCCAGAGCAATTTATGTGACACAAGAGAACAGGACCCCAGGAACAAAACCAGGTGGCTGCTTTAGTAGGTGGCTCATATACTTTCAGGGTGACAGTTTGAACTAACAAGTTTAGTTCAAACTTGTTACACCGCTCAGTAGCACTGCACCTACCCAGGGGCAGAGAGGTCAAGTGGCTTTAATCCAGAGTAGCAGATTAAAGCAAAATTGGGGGAGAGGGTCCTGATCCCTAGCTCCCCCACTCCAACCACCCAACCTCAGCTTCCCTTTATGCCACATATGGTTTCCCTGGGCAGGTCTAAACCGCAGTGCCCAGCAAGGCCCAGCCAAAGCTTCCTCATCACATCCCACCTGCTGGTCCTCACTGGCGATTATGGGATTAAAGCACACTTGAGGGAGTGGGTGGGCTGGGCATGTCTGTACACATCTCAGCCAGGGTTTGCCACTGCACCCATCCACTGATATTTGGGACATCTGACATGACACTCCAAGAGCAAAGGTGCCCTCAGCCTTACTTATAAATCCCTATTATAAATCCAGTCTCCTTTGCCTGTCAGATAATGGGACAAATAGAAGCTTTTTTTTTTTTTTTTTAATAAGGAACAACAGACCAAATGTCACTTGATCTCAGTCTCCCCTGTATGTATGTAGCTAAGAAGGACTATCTCCCTTCCCCTTGTGTGTGACCCTCACTAAAACCTCCCAGGTGGATGCTTAACTGCATTCAGCAGTCAATAAGATGATTCACACATACTAATTAAAAACCAGTAGGGGGTCAGCTATGATGTGGAGGCATTGAATCACAACCCACAGACAGCTGCATCACCTGAACACTGCAAAAGTGAAATTTAGCCCCATCCAGAAGCCCAGCATGGACCCACGAAGCGCACAAAATTGTAAAAAGGATGCTAAACACAGGGATTACTATACCATCTCGCACTGTCTAATGTAGAGCCATACAGCCTCTAATACTTCTGTCCTTACCAACTCTCCTTTTTCTCCTTTTTGGCCAGGAAGCCCTCGGCTGCCACTTTCTCCCTTGAAAAGACAGAAATAGTATTAGCACGACAACACCAAAAGCACATTCCTTTGATGGAAAATGCACCCACATTTCTTGTCAACTGCCCACAACTTCAGAGTTGTCACATGTTACAGTCTCTGTGCTAAATGTTTCAGTTAAATAAAAAATGTGTGTTTATTGCTGTGATACACAGACTGTCTAGAAATACTGAAGCATACACCTCCTGACCCCTCAACTTGTAGTTAGCAACAAAGGGTGCTACTGCAGTCAGAAGGACCATGTGGATATTGCTTTGTTTAACTTAAATTGGAACGTGGGTATATTTTAGGCACCGTTCTTCATTTTTAAAGACATAGAGAATCTTTGAAGAAACTTTGTCAAGGAGAAGAGACCTTTCCCATGGGGACCAAGGAAAGCAAAAGCCAGACGAAGTAAAGAAGAATGGTACACCACAAAGAAAAAAAATCTTTTTTCTAGTTTCTTAATTTTTTTTTTTTAAAGGAATATTTTAATTAAAGCTGATGAAAAATGTTTTCATGCAACAAAAAAAAAGTCTCTACCAGTTCTGGAGCTACAGTTGGTGTACATAGGGGTTATTTTTCACCTCTTGAACACAGAAGGGGAAAGGGCTCTAATGAGGGGGAAAGGGCTCTAATGACCTTTATATCATGCATAATGCATAGATAATTTACATAATGCAAATGGTGTGCTTTTTTTTTGCTTTACATAATGCAAATGATTATTTGCATCATCACAGAGCCTCACAGGAGGTGAGAGGCTTCATACCAGCTATGAACTGCCTGCTCAGAGGAGTTTTCCATCTATTGACTCCTCTGTGAAATCCTATGAAATATGAACTTTCATTTCTACCTAGGAGAACTTTTACAATGTCTTCTCCAATGCCTGATGAAGGGTGTTTGTGCCCAAAAGCGTGCAATTAAAGAAGTTTTTTTGCAAAAATCTTGTTGGTCTAATAAAAGATATCATCTCTACTACAAGTCCTGATTGCCTAATGATCTTCCTGTACTTTTATCCCATCCCTACTGGGCAGGGGCTGATTCAGCCTCTGCACAACTCAAAGCAATTTTAAGCCTACTCTCACCCTTGCTGACTTCCAGCACTTCCTTGGAAGATCTTATACCAGTAAGGGGCTGCTGGAGAGGACTGCATCCCATCCATGCATCTTCCACCCAGCATATATCCTTGCAGAAAGCACCCTAGAGCTGCTGTGCCAAGATCCCTGCCTATCATATTGATCAATGAGCCTCATTGCTTCCTTATACCACCCCGATGCCTGTATGCATTTGATATCTCCTCCTCAGATTAAAAACTCCTCAGGGTAGGGACTGTGTCCTTGCTCTGTGTGTGCATACAGTGTCCAGCACAAAGTGGCCGCCACACTAAAAGCAATGCAGTGTTGCAGATGCTCCCACATTAAACACAGACTCCCTCCGAGCACGGCTTACTCATGAATTCATGATGGTAAATTCAATTTGTTCTTGTCAACACTTGTAACCACGGTGTTTTGAGCTGCCACTGCTTGCTGAGCCCCTTGACAGGAGCAGGCACTGCTTTTTGATGGAGACGATCTTTGTAAGGCCACAGAGACCAGCTGATGGTTTCGCTGTTTAATCTGATTATTGTTACAGAAGAAAAAGACACTCCCAGAATGAACACGAAGGGCATCGTGACAGCTTGTTGTCAAAGAAATTCAAGCCGGAAGAGCAGGTAAATTAACTGACTGCACAAAAAGGGTCACAACACTGTCTCTGCCAGGTTGTGGTTACAATAAAACACAGCTCCTTTCCCTTTTGGGGATGACAATAATTATATTTATCATTCCTCCAGCACTTCTGATAGGCATCCTTTCTTTAGCACCGTGACACTGTGTACACATGCCGTACAAAGGCTGGTAGGCCACAGCAGAGCTGCAATACAGGGAAGAGAGTAAGCTACAGAATATAAAAATGACCTTGGCCATAAGGCCATAAAGCAAATTATTGGAACTGTAGGGAGCAGAGCTGAGGCCTCCTGATGACAAACCTGATGCTGTAGCCAAGGCTGCTTCTGACCAGGTGTGCAAAACAAGCTGTACAAAAAAAAGGCTATATTCACCATTGCACTCTGTAGCAAATGAATGATATTCCACGGTCACATTCTTTCTTCCAAGTCTATTTCCGGCTCCACTTTTTACAGCACCATTTTTGCTGCATCTCCTTCCAAAGCATGTCTGGTGTGTCACACGGTATTACCCTCAGCTTGACAGCAGAGAGAGAGGACTGAGGCAGAAAAACTTGCCTGCGAGGGCATTTTCCCTTTCTCTAATCACAGGGAGCCCTTCTGTCTTGCCCTGGGTTACGAGATTTAAATTGGAAAACTACAGGAGCTTGTTATCTTCCTACACTGGATTTTTGCTCGGTTGCATGCCACATTCACATGTCAATGCCACAATCCTGACAGCTATGGGGCCTTCCTCAGTAGAAATGTCGAAGAGCCCTTTAGTCCATCCATACGCACTTCTGACGACTTTGGTAAGGACTGAATATCTGTACTGAAGGGCAAACCTAGGCCCCGGTCACTCACAGCTGGACAGCACGCTGCATGGAGAGATGTGCCACAGCCCCACGCCGTGATCCAGTCCCAACCCCTCCCCTGCTCCCTCCTATTCTGGGGACAGAGCAAGATCCTTCCCCTTTTGCGGAGCACCTTCCTCCCCTCTCTGCGGCTGGGGGGGGCCCCCC